TGGAGGCCGACACTGTCGCCGGGGCACATGCTTACCCTGGAGGCCGACACTGTCGCCGGGGCAGCATGCTTACCCTGGAGGCCGACACTGTCGCCGGGGCAGCATGCTTACCGGCCCTGTCAGTCCACGCAGAACGGTCTAATGCTGTCGAGTGGATCGCACAGACTCTCCTCAAAGGTGAAATACAGTCGTTGACGACGTTCGACTGAAGCAAAGTTTTTCACGGCGTCGATCATGGCGTCCTGGAGAAGCTTCAGTGGTGCGGTGTGTGCTCGCGCTGGTTCTAGAGCTACCTGCGAGACCGGGAGCAGATGGTGGCGGGCGGCTCTGGTCCGGTTCTCCCTTTGACCATGGCGTAGCCCAGGGCTCCATAGTGGGACCTGCACTGTTCCTTATCTCTATTATCGACACTTATTTCTTCCTCCGCGCCCTGCTGCAGCATCGAGGAGTTTCAAAATTGGTATCAGTTCAGCAGCCTCAGAACGGACCCTGACAATGCTTACGTCATTATCTTTGAAACCAAATCTTATATCAAAAGGACATCAAACTTGCACATAACTCTATCAGTTCCACGTATCCCGTCATGTCCCACTGGGAAGGTCCTGGGCATGGGCATGGACCCACACCTTACCTGGAAGTCCCACATAACGGCAGTGGTTCGCAAATGTAACGCTATCCTTCTGTTCCTCAACACAGACCCTAAACCTTTCAGTTCCTGGTACGGGTCCATGCTTTCCTCCATCTGCTAAACTGTCTCCCTGTTTGGGACGGAGCCACTTAATGCCACCCGTCACGAACTCAGAAAACATAAACTGTGCAGCGAGACCCGTCACTGCGGTACGACGTTATGAACATATCTCACCAGCCCACAGTTCGTTAGGGTGACTGAGTGCCAAGGAAATGTTGCATCACCGAGATGGCTTCAGAGTGTTTGGTGCACTGAATGGACGCGACTGACCACCAGGCCTGAGAGCCCTCTGTCAGACGCTTCCAAGTATCCCCGAGGGAAACAAGAGTGGTCGCCACGGGAGAGCTGCAGCTGGAGGGATGTCGCCTGTCAGCCACATAAATAGCAGTCTCCTATCGGGTCGCGCGTGCGTGGAATTAGCTCCCGCCGGCTATTACCGAGACGTGCAGTGGCGAGGTGCTTCTGCCTCCCACGGGTCAGCCAATATCAATGACAATTGAATGTCCGTGCTGTATTCTTTTTTTTGCATGCGTCGTGACCGTCAGAGGCAAAAAGGTGTCTTTTCTGTCGTGTAAGAAATATGGAACCGTCTAAACTAGTAACCTGTAGCTAACCTGTAACCTGCTAGCTAAGCTAACCAAACTAGTAACCTGGAGCTAAATATATCAGAAGCCGTTGTGATATAACTCTAAATGCGACAAATCACACAAAACAAAGATAAACAAGGTGCAATGCATGAGAACCATCAAGCATTTTCATTTCGTGGGTTTCATTTGGAATAGAGAATCATTTCCTGGCCATGCCAAAGGTTCAATTGGTGAGGACACAGGTCTCAGTGCACAAATGGCCGGAGCAGCTGGCTTAAGACCCAGGAGCACGGCGGTTTGCAGAGTTAAATCCATTCACAAAAATACAGCTCGTGCCCACATTGCGTTGTTAAAAACTACGTCCTCTCAAGGTGAGAATTGCTGCTCTGCTTGATGTCACAGCTTTAGCCTGCAGGTAGACACATGTGTCTATAACTGCTGCGTCCGAAATGCAGTTTCTAAACTTTCCGAAATCCAGATTTCTAAGCCTTTACAATCTGGGCACTGGAAGCATTTACTCCCCAACCTAGAACGACCAACTAGAAATACGACATTGGACAATCTACTTCATGGTCTGAGTTACATGGATGGCGAACCGGTGTCCGCGTAACGAGCCGCGCTTGGCGGGGTGAGCACACTCCTGGTCCAATATCTTTCCTCGCTCTCGGCGGAAGATGTTGTCGGGCGTCGTATGATTTTTTTTTGGGGGGGGGGGCTCACTGGTCGAAAACAGGTTTTGGTATTCGATATAGGGCCGACGTTATGTATTTTTAGACGTTGTTGGACATGTATGACTTCGGAAATGAACGGCATAATTTGATGTGCGCAACTATTAAAGGCTTCCACGGAAAGCTCCCGGCGGGTAGTCGCAAGGCGAGCTTCAAGCTGCAACGAAGCGTTCAGGATGGGCATGTTCGAAACGCGTAGTGTTGTCTTGCTGAACAGTGTCGGACAACAAGCGATATCGGTTTAGTCACGTTGTGTCGGTCGTCAGGTTTTCGTACTGCTGTATTGGCTAATCACGTCGAAGTGGAGGTCGGCACATGTCAAGAATTCTTCCGAACGTAGCAGCTATTACATTTGTCACGTTTTTAAGTGCCAATATTTGACCGGCATGTTTTAATTCTCAAAGCATGCCGGTCAAATTTATTTTCAGTCCAGAAGATGAGGGGCAATATCACCGTTGGGGGGGGGGGGGGGTAAATTGGATTAGGGGGAGGGGGCGAGTGGCCCACCCAATAGAATGCAAATGGACACCGTCAGCCTCATACACATGAGCATAAAAGCTGAAAATGTTTGATTTTTAAGAAAATTTGATCCTTGACATATTTTATATAGAAGCGTACAAATCCTTCCGAGTCGCGAGCTCCAGTTGAGGCCAATCCGCTTTTTTTATTCAAGGGGCTCCATCTACCTTAGTTTCAGAACGCCATGGGAGGGGTCACAGCCATCTCCATCCCCCCTCCCCCCTCCCCCCCATGCTGCGTTATAAAGGCCTGTGCATCAGGGCGAGGGCTGATGAATAAGCCCAAACATCCTATTTAGCACGCCCATGCAGTTAATATTTTAACTTGTCTAGGCTCAATGGTATTACCCTGATATAAAAAGGAGAGACGTCTGAAAAATATAGCAAGATATGATGTGATAAATGTGGGTAGGTAATGAATGCGTGCACAAAAAAATCACGAAGATGTACACATCTCCAAAATCTGACATAAACCATGGTATAGGGGTAAAAACTGCCTGGCCACAAAGTTTCCGACAGATCCAGCATTACCATTAGCTGGATGTTTAGTTGGATGAGATGGATTAGACAGCATGATAGCCTTTGCAAGCTTCCAGTTGGCACCAATTGCACTTTTATTATTTGTTGACCTTCAGCAATAGTTTTGGCCCAAGATCAATGGTTGGCTTCTTGACTTCTTGTTTTTAGCCTCATTATTTTTGGGCGCCTCAGCTCCCGAAACTATTTTTGGGAAATTATACCCTTGTTCCAAACTCTGAAAACAAAGTGTGTCAAATCTAGGGAAAAAAGTTTAAATGTATTTTGGAGGCAGACTAAATTATTTTGCCTTCTTGAACCCCCTCTGCCTCATCTCTGTGCCTTCTACAAGACTGCATCCGTGTAGCCCTACATCTACCGATTAACGTGGTGGCACCTAAAAATAATAAAGTAATATCACTTTTGGTTAGGTGACCTCATCGTGCAATCAGCTACAAACGTTGCGATCTTCACATCTTGGCATCAACACCGGCATTAGGGGCGTAGGCCTCTCATTTCCTAACACGGTCTCAATCAACGAAATTTCATATGAAACCCATGCAATGTTGGCATCAGCTGATGCACAAGATAGTTTGAATACCTCATTTGCC